CAAAATATACAGGTCATCTCTTCCCCGAAGAGCCTATTAATCTGTTGTCTATTGACTCTTTAATCACTGACTAAAGGTTATTCTCAACTAAATTAGGTCAAATGGAGCAAATAAATGCAAGCAAACATCTCAGAGGATAGAATAATTTGTTGTATAATTTGTTATTCAAGCACAGTTCCTGAACCAAATCTTTGGGTGTTTTTTTTTTTTTTTTTTTTGTACCAGGGATCGAACTCTGGTCCTTGTGCTTGCGAGGCAGGTGGCAGAAACACCGAGCTAAACCCCTGCCCTCCTCAAACAAATCTGAGTAAATGGAGAACATTGAGCACAGCCTTTTATTATGATTTACATATTTTGTTTTGTTTTTTTTGAGACAGGGTCTCACTATGTCGTTGAGACTGACCTGGAACTATGTAGCCCAGGCTGGTCTCGAACTCACAGTGATCCTCCTGCCTTAGCCTCCTGAGTGCTGGGATTACAGGCTTGCACCTCCACACCTGGCTGATTTATATTTATTTTAACATTTATTGTATTCTACCTTACCCTCTATTATCTATACAATATTCTTGGTTAATGATTAAGCCTCCTAGTGCCTGAATTGCTCATCTACAATGACAAAATAGAAACTATCTCATAAAGATTTTTTTTTTCTTGGAGACAGCTGAAGTTGGGTCCGTTCAGAGTGGTATGACCATAGACTGAGACATACAGTTGACTGGACTTTAATTCACTATGTAGCCCAGGCTGGCCTTGAGCTCAGGGCAATCCTCCTGCCTCAGCCTCCCAAACGTTGGAATTACAGGTGCATGCCACTATGACCAGCTCTAAATTCTGATAAGGGTCGAACAATACTTAGAGCTCAATAAGTATTACTTTGTTTTATCCTGTTCATCTGAAGACAGCAAACACACTTTCCATCAAGTTTCAATACTTATAAACAAAAAGTATAATACAATATAATATTGGGTGAAGTTAGAATAACTTTTTTTGAAGAGAGGTGATGTATCCTTATTTTACAGATGAAGAAGTTGAGGATGAGGTGCAGATCCACTCCAAACTTTCCATCATACTATGCTTCTGTAACAGTAGGTAGGGCCGGAGATGTAGCTCAGTGGTGGCCACACCTGCCTGGCAAGCACAAGGTCCTGAGTTTATTCCCAGTACCGGAAAAAATAAATAGTAGGCACTTAACATTCTTTTGATTCTTTATATTTTGACGCAGGGCTTGTTATATAGCCCAGGTGGGCCTTGTATTCAAGATCCTTCTGCCTCAGCCTACTTTCTCATTGCTGGGACAAAATACCCAAAACCCACAACTTAAAGGAGGAAGTTTATTTTGGCTCACAGTCTGTAGAGATTTTAGTCAATAGTCTCCACTGGCTCCAAGGCAGGGCACCATGGCAGTGGGACATAGCAGGGGGCAAAAGAGCTCAGGGGATGGCAGGAAGGAAGCAGCAGCCATCAAGGAAGGATACCATTCCAGGTCATACTCTAATGACTCACCTCTTCAGCTCCTAATATCACATCCAGATATAAACCCATTAGCAGACTAATCCAGTATTATACACCCATGACCCAGTCACCTCCCAAAAGCCCAAATCATGAGTACATCCAGATGTAAGCCATAACAGCTTCCCAAGTGCTGGGATCATATGCCAATGTACCACCAGTCTGGGCTTCATCTGGTTCTTAAATGTTATGTTTTAATTTTTTAAAATAATAATAGTAGCCAGGCATGGTAGTGCACACCTGTAATCCCAGCACTTGGGAGGCTGAGGCAGGAGGATTGCTGCAAGTTTGAGACCAGCCTGGGCTACATAGTGAGTTCCAGGTCAGTGTCAAATACATAGTGAAACCCTGTCTCAAACCCCCCTCAAAAAAAAAGTAAAGTTCTGATCTTTTTTTATTGAAGTAAAATATTTACTGGTACATTTTAGATATACATAATAACATTCATCACAGGAAATTTGTACTTGTACATAATATATCTTGCTCCTTTTTCCCCATTCCTCTCTCCTCCCTTCAACCCCCTCCTGCCGTCCTACCTACAAAAGCTTTCTTTCCATTTTTCATTTTTTTTTCTTGTCACTTCTTTCCTTTCTCCCTCCCCCTCCCTTGTTCCCCTTCTCATTTGAAAATTTTCTTCCCATCTCCCAGTATCTGTTACACATTTTGGTCCTTATTTGCATTTTCAGTTTCTCACACCAGAGCATCAAGGTGGTAGTCAAACAGGTATGTCTGATTTATCTCACCTAAGTGTACCGTCCCAAGGTACATCCATCTGGCCAGAAGTATCTCAAGCCCATCCTTCTTTATGGCAGAGTGGTACTTTATCATATTAAAAAAAAACACAGCCTCTCCCTCCATTCATCAGCATCCATTCATCCACAGGCACCAAGGCTGCCACCAAGACCCAGACACCATAAACCACGCCACTACATACACGCGTGCACATGTATCACTAGTGCATGTTGCTCCCAACTCCCCTGGGAATATACCAAGAAGGGGAACAGTTGGGACAAGAAAAACCTCCAGCCCGTCCCTTGAGGAATCTGCACATTGACCCTCAGGGTGTCCACACCATACCACACCCCCAACAGTGCAGAAGGGCTCCCCCCTCTCCAAATTTCCATCGTCAACTACCAGTTGACCTCACAGCAGCCACTCCCTCTGGTGCAAGAGGGAGCTATCTAGTGCTGCTCCAATCTGCTTCTCTAAATTGACCAGCGACACTGAACATTCCCATATATTTATATATAATGTTTTTTCCCCTCATATATTTATTAGGCAAGGACTTGCTGAGCAGAACCTCACTTGCCCAAGGGCCAGGGATTTAGCTCAGTGGTTCCAGCGCCTGCCTCACAAGCACAAGGACCCGAGTTCAATCCCCACTATCAAAAAACAACAACAAAAAAACAAAACAGAACCTCACTTGCCCAAGATATAACACCAAGAATTAATAAATGGTATTATATCACATTAAAAGAGTTTCTGCACAACAAAAGAAATAAACAAAGAGACAACCCACAAAATGGGCTAAAAATTTTGCCAGCTATTCCTTAGACAAAGGAAAATATCTAGATTTGAACTTAAAAATAATCAGACTCTCCAAAATAAAAGATCAAATTAAAAAATGGGCAAGTGAAATGAACAGACACTTCTCTGAAGTACAAGTCACAAGTACGGGAAATAATGTCCAGCATCCTTGGCCATAAGAGGAATGCAAACCAAAACAGAGATTTCATCCCACTGTAGAAAGAATGGCTATCAACCAGAAACCAAACAACAAAGTATAATTTAAAGAGCAAACTACTGGGGATTTAGCTCAGTGGTTCCACCGCCTCCCTCACAAGCAAAAGGACCCAGCTCCACCCCTGGTGCCAAAAAAAAAAAAAAAAAAAAAAAAAA